TCCTGAATGAGTTTCACAAAGAAAGAGCTAGAACCATTTAGTTGAGAATAGAGTGGTGGTTTCTGCTCGTGTAGATGAGATGTGGCCTCCTGATACAATTTACACAACCACTGGAGTCGAGCCATTGTGATGTCGCCTCCAGAGGAGTTGAACCATCAACATACTGGATAACATGGCCTCCTGACACCATTTACACAACCACTGGAGTTGAGCTGTCACCTTACGGGATGATGTGGCCTTTTGATTCCATTTACACAAATGCTGGAGTTGACCTGTTACCTTACTGAAGGATTTGGCTTCCTGATACCAGTTACACAGACACTGGAGTTGAGCCGTTACCTTACTGGATGATGTGGCCTCCTGATATGATTGACACAACCATGGGAGTTGAGCTGTCACCTTACTGGATGGTGTGGCCTCTTGATACCATTTACGTAAACACTGGAGTTGAGCCATCAAAATTGCAGTTCACCCCTTCAACTGGGAGACCTCATCCTACCCTTGCATGAATGTCGGTACCTCGTTAAGGGGTTTTGTATTACAGTGAACCAATTAACATAAGTCATCATGAGTTGATTCCATGGGATTTACATCTTTTTGATACCAGATCTCGACTCCCAGATTTATAGATCATTGATGATCCTTGTGTCATACCCAGAAAAAAGGTGAAAATGGTATGACCCTCATCCTACCCTCATGTGGATGTTGGTATCCTGCAAGGAAGTTTTAGATGTAGTTGACTTGCCGATTACAGTCCACTGTGCCCTAGCCACTCTATACCTCTCCATTTCTGACCTTATCTCTTGCACATTCCAAACATGGGCAAAGAGTATACCTGGCTCAGAAGTGGTGTGGTTCCCTTTTTCTGATCTTTGGATCTATCTCTCTCGTTATCAGGGGTATATTTGGACACTTTCGAGGGTACTTCTTTCGTTCCCTCCTCCTCAATGTGGGTTGCTAGTTAATCTTGGTAAATACCATATTGTAAGTTATAATTTTCCTATACTGAAAATGTATTTCTGGGAGGTACTTACCTCTTTTCACATTTCCCACCCTTCCTCTGCACTTCTTCGGTGCTGTGCTTACAGCGTCTGCCAAACTTAAAAGTAAAGGTTTGGTAGAGGAGTGTAGAGGGAGTCACATGCATCATGTGAGCATATCATGCTACTATTGGTTAAGAGATGATGCATGATGATTTACATGAGAGACATGTTGGAATATAGTAATTCCAACAGGGAGGGGAAGCAGAAGGCTTGTGGTATGTGTAAAGAAAAAGTTCACATATAGAGGGCAGCACTGAACAAGAACAGCTAATCTTGTGAGGAGGAGATAAGTACCTATCGGAAATACATTTTCAATATAGGAAAATTGTAACTTTGGCCCACTCTTTATTTTTCAAGAAATTGGCTGTTCTCTCCTCAAACTCATGTAAAATGATGGTTTTTACTCGAGTTGATGGAAACTCATTCCATTTTTCAACTACCATCTTAGAAAAATAAAACTGTATTAACTGTAGCTTAAGCTGTCCTTTCTGTATCTTAAACTTGTGTCCTTTTGCCCTACAATCTTCAAAAGTATAACACAAATAAAACACAGGCTTTCATCTCTAAATTCAAACATTTTATTTAGTACCCAGAACCAGCTTTTTTATCACAGTTTTTTATTTTTTAGCTACAGTTCTTTCATTGTTGACATTCACCAAGTTTTGCTGAATTAAAGAATCACTCTTCTCACATTCAGCTAGCACTTTATTATTAACGTCATGGAAACCAACACCTTAGCCAGGAAACATTTGAAGGAGGGGAATGTATTATATACTAAGTTCTACATATCGGCATATCTGTAGCAATAAGTAATCCCCCTCCCCTCCCCCCTTAGGGCTTTTGTGAGCTTTCCTTTGAATGGTTTATACGAGTGGTAGAACAAAAAAGGTTGAAAATACAAGCTTTAATTTTAAATGTAATTGGTTTTTGAAGTCAGTATGAAGCTTTTCCTTTAACAAACTACTTTTTTTGCTTAAAAGTGATACAGTTTATCTAATGAAGTTTTGTGTAGAGCTTGAATTATTTTAAGTTTTAAATTTTTGTTGGATAGATCTATGAACATTAGGGGTGAGACAAAACAGTAAGCTCACTGTAAGATATGTATTGCATTACACAAACTATGACATGATACATATCAACATATACGTAAACCCCCATCTCTGCTTAAATGACTTAAAAAATTGTTAGATATGTAGACCAACACACAGACCACTTCAAGAAAACCACATTTATTTACCAGTAAAGAATAGCATAACTACATTACGTGCCATTTTTGCACAAACCAGGTGCCTCCTTGGTGGTTGATATTTGCCACCACCATTGAATTGTCAAAATGAACCATCACCAGACAATGATGGGTGAGAAGAAGGAGGTGATGTAATGCTTGATGTACTGCTAGAAGTTCAAGAACATTGATAAGCAAAACGGCTTCGTCTGCAGACAAACAGCCCAAAGCTTTCTGGTGATTGACCCAGGCCCCCCATCTGTGAAGGGATGTGTCCATGAAAAGATGTAGATCCGGATGTGAAGGAGGAAGCAGAACACCCACCAACATATGTGCTTTGTCCAGCCACCAATGTAGATCATCTCGCAGGGAAGTAGGAAGGGAAACGGGAGTGGAAAGAAGATCCCCAGCAAGGTTCAATCATTCGTGAAAGGATCTAATATGGACATGACCTAGAGGGGACCAGTGCAGTCATGGAGGACCACATCCCCAAAAGTGATAGAACTTCAGGAGCAGTAAGTGATTGAGCTGAGAGGGCATGGTGAACCAAAAATTCCATCAAACAAAGACATAAAGGAGAAGGCAGAGCACAACTGATATTCATGTTGAAAAAGACCCCCAAATGGACTAGATATTGAGTGGGTAGAAGGAATGATTTCTCCAAATTGACCAACTAGCTCAACTGAGCTGCCAGAGAAAGGAGCTAATGAGTATGAATGGTCAATTCCTTCTCAGAATGAGCCAGTCATCCATGTAATAATGAAATCGCATCCCTAGAGTATGGAGATAACGTGCAAAAGCTCAGACTATGCGACAAAACACATAGGGAACTGAAAGCAAGTCAGAAGGGGAGTGCCTGAAATTGGTAAACCACCCCAAGATGGACAAACCGAAGGTAAAGTTGAGACTGATGTGCTATGGAGATGTGGAGGTAAACATTGGAGACATTCATCTTCATCATTCACAACCTTGGGAAAAATGCCCATCTCAGGGTGAGAAAAGACTCCATGCTCAACTTTGTGAGTACGATGAAGCGGTTGAAGCAAGGGAAATCAATGACCAGCCACCAATCCCTGGTTTTCTTAGGGACAACAAAAAAGCGGGAATAATCAATGTCATTGTTGCTCATAGGTAATTGATTAAATCAACCAACTCTATGAAAAATCAGCCATGACAAGCAGGATAAGAGTGTGACAGGTTATCTTTTATAAGTTTAGATGTCTGATGAGATAAACATTTAGCACTATGAAGGGCTGAATGCTAGTGTTTTCAATCAAGCCTTCCCTTAAACTAACTCCATTTACCACATCCGAAGGCAACACATTCCAAAGGCCAACCACCCTGTTAGAAAAATAAAGCTGTCTTATATGAAGACTCCTACCTAGCTAAAAATTATATTTATGTCCCTCAGTCTTACCATTCTCGCCATTAAATATGAAGAAAGATAATGCATCAACACTACCGATTCCCTTAACCATCTTAATCAAATCCTGTAACTCTTTTTCAAGAGAAAACAATTTCAGATATCTTAAGCTATTTTCATATGGCAACCTTCCCTAACAGGTATAATCTTAGTAGCCTTTCACTGTACCCTTTCCAACAGTTCAATGCCCTTTCTAAAGTAAGGAGTCCAAGATTGGTACTCCAAATGTGGCCTAACCAATGACATTATAACCTCATCTTCTTACAGACATAATATTAACTTCCCATTAAAGCAAGCTACCTACTTACAGCAAATATACTTGTCTTATATTCATATTTATGATAATTATAATGTATTGTTCCATCAGTTGGGTACCTTCTCAGTTAACTATATTTTTGAAAATAATCCCAACAATATTTCATGAGGTTTAGCTAGCTTAGGAGATTTAGGCTAATCCTAAATACATAAATTGACAATTCAAAACAATCTGTATAATGAAAAATTAAATTAAAAAGTAATACATGTAGATAAATTAAACATTCTAACTAATACTATTAAAGAAAGTAACTACATGGAGTATATCTTACTTATGGAAAAGTAATCTGAAAATGTTTAATTACTATGATTTTAAATTACGTGTTACATACACCATCAAAAAAGCTTTCCTTATATATATACCAAGTAGTATAAGGATTGAACAGTTAAAAGCCATAAAGGTTTCACGAACAAAAAAGTATATTCAAAAATCGAAGAATGTGTAGTCTAAAAAGAAGTGAACTATTATTATTATTATTTATCTTGCAAATCGCTAAATTTGGAAATGGATAACATATATAGAAGAAAAATGTGATTAAATGACAAGTTAACATTAAAATTGAAACTATTGCCATCATGATATTTTTTAATGTGATACAAAACTAGTATCTGTGAATTCATTACATTCTTTTCACTAAAATTATATTTTGAAATGCTTTTTAATATGAATATAACCTTCAAAAAATTTCAAAAGTTTGGTTTTAACAATGCTACCGACACTGATAGACCTGTGTTTCTCCAGTGAAATTATCGAACGGTTTTCTAGGAAACCGAGTTCGTTGTTTCTTCTCGATGGATAGACTGGCCGTTAGGCCTAACATGGAGACGTCATTAGAAAGTAAGCAATAGAGAACTCTGAAAATGTGATCGGCATGTTTTCACGAAAATCACATGTAAGTAATTTGTTTACGCCGTAAAATACCTCAGCTGATCGCGCACATTTTAGTGGCCCATGCGTGGAGGAACATAAGGTACACACAACTGAGCAACTCGGGCACCCATCCCGTTTGCGACTGCGCTACGTTTTACTTTCGGCTATATGAGGTGTTGGTAAGTCATATTATTAGTTTGCCTGCATTGTTCTGTTTCCGGCCGTTTCTTATTATCAAATAGAAATCCCTTTTGTTTCAAATAATACCGTATCCTCCAGGTAAGTCATACCATATATTTAGATATATAATTACGATAAATGCAAAATTGAGCGATAGGACAGTTTCGTAATGCGTTGCTTGTAATATAACTAGGCTTAGAGAGGAAAAAGCGGGAAATCCGCCATCTTGCGTCTGCGCCGTACAAATAATTGTGGTAATTTCTCATAATATTTCTTTATATGAATAACTTATTTAGTGAAGAAAGATATACTTGTTTGAATATTATCTCTTTAAACGATTTAATATAGTCATACATACAAAACTTACCAGAATATAGTGAAAATGAAGAAAATGTAGACGCAGGGAAATGCGCGATGTATACCAAAATTGGAGTTGATCTGAGCAACTAAATGAGCAAACCCAGGCTGAAAGGCTTTCTAGCAGCTGCATAAGCAGTAACGAAGAGCGAAAAGAAACTCATGGCGCCCTCTGTTAAAGTGCATCAAGTGAAATAGATAGCGCGTAATTCAATTATTTTGAATAAAACATTGTTTTATCTTTGGTTTTTAACTTGTATTTGTGAAAATGTATTATTTGAAGAAGAATTACAAAAAACGTTTATGAGGAAACTATTTTTTATCATAAAGGGTAAGAGTATAAGCAGAGTAATTCGTAAAATATAAATTGCAAAATAGCATTGAAAGTTTCAGAATAATTTGCCTTTTGAAGGGTAAATCACTAAATAGGTACTCATAGTTAATTTCAAAATACATTTAATTAATTTTACAGTGTTTATGTACCTTATAGTAAGATATATCATTAATATTTTACTTCTAACTCATAATTTTATAAGATGTGTTTATTAATATTTATTTTCATTATTTTGTATTTGGGGGAAACCTTTTATTATTTAAGGAAATGAATTATTTTGCAGCTCTGCATACTGTGACTATGTAACATTGTAAATTACTATTGGGTGATTAAATAACAAACTAGAAGGCAAAGACCATTTAACTGCTGGGTTATTTCCTCATGAAATAACAAAAAATCGAATACAAACTTAATGTAATCTTCACAATAATACACATCTTTTCATGAAATTTCCACAAACCACTTTATAAGTTAAGACTGTCTCTGAAATATATATATATATATATCTTACAGAGAAGTAACACTGCCATGGAATAAACCCCACAATATATGGATATAATGGTACACAACAGAATGGCAACCTTTGTGGGGAGTGACAAAATATTTTTATTTTTTTTGTGTTAAGCAAAAACATATAAAATCATAAAGTTACTTCTCTCATATTGGTTACTTGTGTGTATGTAAGATAAACAGTTCAGTGTGGCTTTCTGATTGTGTCATTTTGTTTTTTAGCTCATACTTCCTATAGGTAATCTTTATAAGGTTTTGTAATAGCAAAACTGAAACTGACTACATTGCTGGAGACCTGTTCAAAATCCTATATTTATATATATTATTTAAGGACAGCAAAGGATCTGTTGGTCCATCTAGTCCATCCCATCTGCTATACTAAACTCTAAAATTTAAAGGTCAAATTTTACCCCTCTTCATTCGTATATTTTGCGTACGAATCGACAAACGCTGACACACTTTTAAAATCCTCAGCCATAACTATACATGTCACGACTAAGATAAAACTACAGTTTAACATATAGTTACAGAAATTAACCGAAACATAAACCATAAAACTGAATGACTGTTCCTACCATATGGTTGAAACTTTCATGTAGACCAAGTTGTCTCACCTAATATATAGATTTTTTTTTTGTACAATAACTGCTCTAATAACGAAAGTAGTTGTAGAAAAACTAACATAACCATAGATTGTAAAGTAAGCGCTGTATTTTCCTATTTAATATAACCTTTCTTCGGGAGGGGACAAAACACGTCGATTTAATCGATTGGCTTATTCAACTGGCGTACCGCTACTAAAATAAGTTCGCTTTTACTGCAATTTTATATAAATTCCTAAAATTCATTAATTTTTGTCTGGTTATTTTAGGAAAAGGTTTTATAATAAAAAGATTTGACTAAATACTTGGATATTTTTGACAATTATGTTTTAAAAAGGAACGTAAAACATTGACAGCCATTATTTTAAATTCATTTAATTTTCACGAAATTCAAAGTACACTTGCACACAAAAATTAACAGATGAAGAGCTGTTTGCCTACCTAAATCTTTAATGTTTCTAATCTGAGTTGTTTTGAAAGAATTATATGATTTTATGAACAGAGTTTTACTCTATGTTGTGCGAGTATACTGAAACGTTAAGTCAGCGATAAGGATTGGGGCGGATCAATACATTTGGATGATTGTGAATAGACAAGTTTCGTGTTTCATTGTACTCTTGTGAACGATCCACTAAATTCAACGCTTCGTTGTGAAAATGTGTGATGTATTTGGAAAGTTGCATGTTTTTCGAGATTAGTATTTTTTACAAGACTGGGAAATTACACATTCTTCCGAACTGAATCTAATACCTGATTTACTGAATAAAGTTTTACATTGTATCAAGATGACAAAGGGTAAATAATTCACTGATAGAAGAAAATGTACATTCCACTGTTAACTTCTGGGGCGAGGTTGATCGATATCTTTCGCCACGTCTATGAGAATTCATTTTCCATTTTTTTGCTTGAATTGCTGGAATATCACTGGTAGTAGTTTATTCGTAGCTACTTTTTTCTTGTTTTTTCTTTCTTTTTTTTAAAGTGTATTTGATTTTAAGATTAAATATGGGTTGTTATTGCGATATCATATATTACCTTAGACTGTTCACATCTTGGTTTCGTGTTATACTTAACTCGTGAGAAGCTATTCTCATACGAAGGTGTGTGTGTGTGTTCCTATCATATCGAACTGTTATGTACTGGAAATAATAGTATGAACAAAGAAAAAATTCGCTAATGCATGTTAGTTCTAATTATTACCGCAGTAACTAATCATTTACGGAATGAATTAAAGGCATTAAACGTGTGTGTGTATTTAAAATGTTAAACTTCGGGATAATGTTGATAATTCACGGTTATCTCTCTCTCTTTTTTTTTTCTTGGCCCCGTTAGAAAAGTAATTATTGGACTTTATGCAAATTTGCAATACCAACCCTAATATGATGTTTTTAAGACAATTAAATAGGTCATTATTAGTGTTATGATATGTTAAAATTTCGTGTATGGTTAAAACAAGTGACATGTTTTAAAAAACTTTTTCAACATAGGTTTTTGTGAGTGTTCTCATCGAACTGAACTTTTATTCTGTAATTACTCTTGAGTACTTAAAAAGATTAAATGGGGGCACGACCAAATGAAACTTTAGAATAACGGCACTACCTTACAAAACTTAATGGGAGTTTTACTGACCGACCTAATAAACCTAGATAGGCGCGTGACTGTTTTACCAAATAAAACTTAGTGAGAGTATGGTCACACCACCTAATAAAACTAAATGGAGTATGGTCACACCACCTAATAAAACTAAATGGAGTATGGTCACACCACCTAATAAAACTTAACAGGAGTATGGCCACACCACCTAATAAAACTTAGTGAGAGTATGGTCACATCACCTAATAAAACTAAATGGAGTATGGTCACACCACCTAATAAAACTAAATGGAGTATGGCCACACCACCTAATAAAACTAAATGGAGTATGGTCACACCACCTAATAAAACTTAACAGGAGTATGGTCACACCACCTAATAAAACTAAATGGAGTATGGTCACACCACCTAATAAAACTAAATGGAGTATGGTCACACCACCTAATAAAACTAAATGGAGTATGGCCACACCACCTAATAAAACTTAACAGGAGTATGGTCACATCACCTAATAAAACTAAATGGAGTATGGCCACACCACCTAATAAAACTTAACAGGAGTATGGCCACATCACCTAATAAAACTAAATGGAGTATGGCCACACCACCTAATAAAACTTAACAGGAGTATGGCCACATCACCTAATAAAACTAAATGGAGTATGGCCACACCACCTAATAAAACTTAACAGGAGTAT